GTTGTCGTGTGCCGACTCCTCCCGAGCCGAGCTGTGCCTTGGGGACCGCGACGGCGGGCTTCGGGCTCAGTACCGGGCGCGCGAATCTTCGCGAAAGCCTTCGTGAGCTGTCAGTTTACAGGGGGGACACCGAGGGTCCCGGGCCCGGGGCGCCAGCGCGGGGCTGTGGTTGAATCCGCGGCCTGATCCCGTGTGACCGCGTCCTACCTAAGGGACACCCAGGAAAAGCGACAAGTTTTAGGCTTTTGTACTTTCTTCCTGGGAGGAATTAAGAAAGTGTATTTGAAGTCTGACGCTTCGAAGTTCGGTTCCCTGCACAGCCACAGCCGCCGAGGGCATGAGGTGTCCTCGGCGCGACGTAGGGACCTGGGGTCCGGGCAGAGTCCCGGGGAGCAGTAGCCTCTCGCGGCCGCACCCCGGATGGTGTCCGAGGACGGCGATCACCGGAGGCGCTGCTCCAGGCTTGGGTGGGCTGCGGTCCCACGCGGAGGCCGAGCGGACTCGGGAGGGCCAGCACGGGGTGCGTGTGCAGTGGCGCGTTCACACCCGCTTCCTCCGTCAGCCTCGGAAACGAGCTCCTCGTGAGCCCCCGGTAAAGAACTTGGCACCAGGTTTCTGAAAGTTTCTACGTGTAGTTTCTCCCGAGTGCACACACTCGTGTGCGTGTGTGAGAGCGAGAACCCCTGACAGTCCCCATCCCATCGTCCCCAGGCCTCAGGCAGCCCAGAGCACCTGAAGGGACACCTCTCATTAGCGATGGCCTCACGGGGACAGCGTTTCCTGCGGCGCCACCATCTGGCCGCACCAAGTTTCTTGGCTGTTTAGGGGGAAGAGTCGGGCCCCCAAACTTTCAAAGCAATTTTAACAGGTCCCATACTAGAATGTCGGGGTTCTTGTCAGCTGATTCTTTAGATCAAGATGATGGGTGTGCAAAAGGAAAATGACAGTAATATCCCAAATTAGAGATTTTCAGAGATGCCACCAGAAATTTTATGTGGGAAATAAATAGTATGTGTCATTATTGATAACCTTTCTGCTTGCGCATCATTCTAGAGACATTTTGTTCCTGTCAACGATGAAGCACCCACAAGCAGGTGGTGTGGTGCTTGAGGCACCAGACTCCCATATGGCCAGCTGCGGTTTGAGTCCCAGGCCTGGTGGCTTGCTTTCTCACTTTCTCTGTCTCTCTGGGCAAATTAAAAAATAACTAATAGCAGTGGGACCAGCAGGTGGCGTGGGGGTTAAGGTGCCGGACACTCCCGCATGGCTGACCATGTCGGACCTGGTGGCTTGCTTTCTCACTTCTCCTCTCTCTCTTTGCGTGTATCTCTCTCTATCAAATTAAAAATGGATGAATGGATGAATAAAACTAAATAAATAATTCTTTAAAAATAATAAACTAAGTAAATAATTCTTTAAAAAAATAACTAATAACAACAAATAAAATTAATTAAATAAATCTTAAAAAAAAAAAGGTTCCGTTGGCCCCTAGATTAAATTCCTCCTTCACATGAAGTTAGTAGTAATTCATTATATAACCTCAATTCAAAGTAAATAAAGATAAACCTTTGTTTTGGTGAATTTTTAAATTTTTTTATCTTGAAGGAAATGGCTTAAAGAAAAATAGCTTAAGTATCTTCTTATGTTGGCTTGCTTGTTTAAAATGACTAGTCTGAGCCAGACTGTGGCATGGATCTGATTATGTGACCTGATTCAGTATGACCTCCTGCATGCTTTGGGTTCTGAACCTAGTGGCGACAGGAGAGAGAAATGGAGGAGAAGGCATTGTGGTATGAACATTCCTTCTTGCTCTCTTTCCCCACAGAGTACATGCACTCTCTGGCAAATTTAAAAAATAAAACTGATCAGTGATCTTTTTTACTCAATTACTGTTTTCACAGTATTTGACTAAATATCAGTATTGTAATTCTGCAATGTGAATCTGTAGAGTTCCTGTACTTACTGCTTCTTTTTTTTAAAAAAAACTAATTTTATTTATTTTAATTCATTTATTTTTTAAAAAAATTTGACCAGAGAGAGAGAGAGGGAAAGTGAGAAAGCAAGCCACCAGGTCTGGGACTCAAACCATGGTTGGCCATGTGGGAGTGTTCAGCACCTTAACCACCACACCACCTGCTGGTCCCAGTACTTAATGCTTCTTATTGATTTACTTTCCTTTAAGACATTAAAAGGAGCTGGCACATGGCGTGGTGGGTGATTTAAGGTGCTAGACTCCCACATGGTCGATTGCAGTGTGAATCCTGGACCTGGATGGCTTGCTTTATCACTTTCCCTCTTTCTCTCTGGTCAAAAAAAAAAAAAAAAAAAAAAAGGACCAGCAGATGGTATAATGGTTTTGTCACTGGACTCCCATTAGTTGACTACAGTTCAAGTTACAGACCCAATGGCTTAAATTCACACTGGCTGTGTGTGCATGCATGTCCAAAATCCTGAGAGGAGGATGGGGGGAAGGGATTGTGGCAAGGCCCTCCCCTCTGGGGGGAGGGGTAATCTCTCACTTTCTGTCTCTTTGGTGAGCCTATACACCCTATAGCAAAAATCTAAAAAAAAAAAAAAAAAAAAAAACCCCTACATAAATAATGATTTTTTTATAAGAATTCTTTTTTGTTTAACTTCAGTTATTATTATTTTTAATTTGACCAGAGAGAGAGAGAGAGAAAGTGAGAAAGCAAGCTGCCTGGTTCAAGACTGGAGCCTTGGTCAGCCTTGTGGGAATCCAGCACCTTTGACCACCATACCACCTGATTGGCTCCAATAAATAATTCTTTAAGAAAAAATGTGTATCTGGTAGTACAGTTACCCATGCTATAAAATTTGAGCACATTGGGGGGCCTGCAGGTGGCATGGTGGTTAAGGGTGCTGAACTCCCACATGGCTGACAGTTCAAGTCCCAGACCCAGTGACTTGCTTTCTTGCAAGTCACCTCTCTCTTTCTCCCTCTCTCTTTCTCTCTCTGTCCCTCTCTGGTCAAATTAAAATAAATGAAATTAAATTAAATTCTTTAAAAAAGAAAAAAATTGAGCAGATTGGCTTAATAACTTTATGGTACAGAAAATGATTTAGTAAGGTGGAAACTACTCCAAACAAGATATTTTCCTAGGGCATTATGATTATCCAGTCTTCCCCCATACTAATTGCTACTTCCAAGTCCTATTCATGCTATTGTGTGAGACTATATAACTTCCTTTTTCTTTCTTTTCTTTTTTTTTTGGAGAGGTTTTTGCTATAGGGCGTGTGTGCTCACCAGATAGACAGAGACAGGCAGAAAGCAGGAAATCACTCCCCAGGGGGGATGGCCAAGCTGCAATCTCTTCTCCATTCTCCTCTTGGGATCTTGGGCAGGCACGCATACGCGCCCAGCGTGAGTTTAAGCCACCAGGTCCGAGACGAGACTTGAACCGCGGTCGACTACGAGACTTGAACCGCGGTCGACTACGTGGGAGTCCAGTGACATAGCCATTATGCTAACTGCTGGTCCCTATTTAGCTTTATTTAGCTATAACCCATGACTTTATATAGCATTTAATAATTTAAGTATACACTTTATGCCACTTATTAATCCAGCAAATATTTTTGTGTTTATACCATATATTACACAGCAGTTTTTATTACAAGAAATATAAAAATAAGTTATGGGGGACCAGCAGGTGGCATGGTGGTTAAGGCACTGGACACTCCCACATGGCTGACCATGGTTCGAGTCCCGGACTTGGTGGCTTGCTTTCTCACTTTCTCTCTCTCTCTCTCTGTCAAATTAAAAATAAATGAATGAATGAATAAATAAACTTTAATAAACAATTAAAAAAATAAGTTATGAAATATTGGGGTCAGAAGTCAAAGGTGCAAGTACCTACTTTGAGAAAGTTACTTAACTTTCCTGCGCCTATGCTTCTTCACAGTGAACATAGTGTTATATGTATGTTCATAAAAATAGTTGACTTTTTTCTTTCATGAAAGAGAGATGGACAGATAGGCAGTACCCCTCACAGGGTCTCACATGCCGTGGACCTTTCCCCAGCGTCCTCCCTGGTCAGAATGTGGGCGTGCCTAGTGTGTTCAGGACTACCAGGATCCCAGGCCTGGCCTCCCATACTGCTCCAGCAGTGGGCAGCAGGACCACGTTGCCTGCACCGCTGTGGCTGGTCCAAGTGATAATATATACTTGCAGTTTTCTGAGAATTAACTGAAAATTCTCTCATCATTATTTAATTTTTATTATTATTGTTTAACAAAAAAAATTTTTTGGAAAGGTTTTTGCTATAAGGCATGTTCACTCATCAGAAAAACAGAGAGACAGGGGACCAGCGGATGGCGTGGTGGTTAAGGTGCTGGACACTCCCACATGGCCGACCACAGTTTGAGTCCCAGACCTGATGGCTTCCTTTCTCCCTTTCTCTCTCTCTCTCTCTGTGTCTCTCTCTGGTCAAATTAAAATAAATGAATGAATAAATAAAATTAAATAAATAATAATTTAAAAAAGAAAAAGAGAGAGAGACAGACAGTAAGCGAGAAATCACCCCCGAGGGGAGATGGCTACACCGCAATTCCTTTTCCTCCATTCTCCTCTCGGGATCTTGGGCACGCACGCACATGCACCCGGCGTGAATTTAAGCCACTGGGTTTGGGACTCGAACTGCGGTTGACTACATGGGAGTCCAGTGACATTATGCTAACTGCTGGTCCCTGTTATTATTATTTTTTAAGATACTGTCTTGTCATGTGATAGTTCTTCTGTCTCCGTTTCCCATCTGGAACTTAAAGATTTGTGATACCCTTTTTTTCTTTTCTTTTTTGGGCTTTTTAAAATTTACTAATTTCTCCTATCAGAGAGAGATACGAATGGACAGGCATCTTTTTATTTTTTATTTTTTTGAGTTATTATTATTTTTTTTTGTTATAGTGCACGTGCGCTCACCAGAAAGACAGAGAGAGACAGAGAGATAGAAAGCGAGAAATCACCCCCCAGGAGGGATGGCCATGCCACAATCCCTTCTCCTCTTGGGTTCTTGGGCATGCACGCACATGTGCCTGGCGTGAGTTTAAGCCACTGGGTCCAGGACTTGAACCGTGGTCGACTACATGAGAGTT